AGAAGCTAATCTCAGAGTGGTCCTAGGGGAAGGCTGTCTCTTTTTGTCATCGCTGAAAAAAAAACCTCATGTCTTCTTTCAGCATCTGTAGACCAGTGTTCCTTGAAGATCCCCATGTGTCTTGACATCCATCTTCCCCTGAGCCTAGAAGCTTCGCAGTGCAGGAATGCCAGGTCCAAAGAACTCACTACACTCCTGGCTCATCTTTTTTGGTGGTAGTAGGTCTCTCTAATGTCTGCTCACTTCTCTTTCCTTGTAGCTCTTATAAGAGAGAAGTGCTACAGGTCACACCCCAGGGAAGCTCCCCTTACACCATATCAGAGCTCTGATGGGATTCAGGGTGTTGGATCCCACTCTTAGTCCTCTTACTAGTTTCTCACATAAGACTACGTCAGGGGGGATCATCACATAATGGCCACATTCCATCATTATACAACCACCAAATCCCTGAGAATCCTAGCCCAGCCACACTGACACATATTTTGAGGGGCCATGGTTCAGTCTCTGCAGTGGCTAATCATAAATCTAGATCATTCCAGTGGTAGATTAGACTTCCAGAGCTCTGATGCTGAAGAGACCCAGAAAGGCACTCTGGGGGTTTGCTGAACAAGAAGAAACCTTCACCCCAAAACAAGCTCTCCTTTGGTTAAAATAAAACACAGCTCAGAATCTCTTGTAAATCCGCTCACTTTATTTTTCTCTGGCACATAAACTGCATGTGATTGACTGAAATGTGGTTATATACATTAGGCACAAAAAGGAGATAAGACTTACATGACAAGACTTTTAATTACAAAGTCTTTTACATTACAAAGCACACCACTGTAAAAATAAATTCCGTTTGTCACTGGGTCTCCTCCCTTTAGTTACTCATGCTTCAATCTCATCCTCACAAATCTGCCCACATGATAAGGATTTCCCTGAAACCCTCTTCTCTTCTCACGTCCAAGTAACTAGGCCTTTCTGTCTCCCTTCCCTGCGGCTGTAAACTCTGATCTTCTTACATGATTCCCTCCTGTCATGACATGATCACTTCCATCCATCATCTTCTGTGTCCTCTGACCCCGCCTGCTTAGAATTCCTCCCATCAGCCTTATCTTCCCCTTTGGTGCTCTCAGAATCTTGCTCCCTTTTTCCTACCACCAATGAGTACCGATTCATTCTGGATATTTCTTGAAGTGCTGCCTAACTCCTGGAACTGAATTGGCAAGGTATTTCTTTCAGTTTCCCTTTTAATCACTGTAAAAATATAGGCAGCCCAACGTTTGCTGTTCAACATTTCCCATTTGTACAATTCAATGAAGTCAACTGTATCAATCATGTTGTACAACCATTGCCAACATCTGTCTGGTTAGCTGTTCCTTGGGCATGTATGCAGAGACAGGAACCATTCTCCAACTGTACACACACACACATATGCACGTGAACATATGCACACAATTAACCATGGACTTAGCTTTTCTTCAGCAAATGTTTTATGGTAAACCATAAGTACCATACTAATCACATGGAGATATTAAGGCAAACTATAGATTCTTTTACCCCTCCTGACACCCTCGCTGAATTTCAACCTTTAGGGCTAAAAATTTAGGGCAAAAATTCCACCTTTAGGGCTAAAATTATAGGGCTAAAATTCAGCCTTTAGGATTAATGGATAAAATACATACAAAAATCAATAACATCATTTATTCATACTGGGCATGAAACAGTTGACAACACATATAATTTTATGAGCATGAAGTGTAAACAGCTTCAGAATTACAGACAGCATGGGTCAGCCTCTTGATCTGTGGCTTCACAGAGGTTATGTCCACGTCATTGAATCAAAGTCACGTAGGTTGATATTATTGCTGGTCAAATTCACACTCAGTACCTGTTGGAGAACAAATATTGAGAATCTGATGCTTAAAGTTTCCTATACACACAAAAACATCAGAAGCCAGCCAATATGCCAGGGTCCCCTAGACTTTTACAATTCACTTCTACTGCCAGATTACTCTCAGGTATTCAGGGGAGGAAGGTATCCTGTAATTCCTGAAAGTTTTAAGATTGTTCAGTAACAGTGAAAGCCCAAAGAGGAATTAATGTCTTTGAATTATATATAGTGTTGGTGAAGAATATTGAATCTATCCTGGATTGCCAGAAGTCAAAAATTAATCTGTCTTGAAAGAAGTACAACCAGAATGCTCCTGAGAAGTGAGGACGGTGAAACTTTGTGTCATGGATTTTGGACATGTCATCACGGGGGGCCAGTCCCTGGAGAAGACATCATGCTTCGTAATGTAGTTGGTTCTGACTCAAAGAGACCCTGTGTAGGGTTTTCCAGTCTGCAAATTTTTACAGGAGCAGAGAGCATCAGCTTTCATCCTCGGAGCTGCTGTTGGATTTGAACTACTAACCTTGCAGTTAACAGCCCAATATATCACCGGGGCTTGAGAAAGTAGAGGGTCAGTAAAAGAGGAAGACCCTCAATGAGAAGGATTGACTCAGAGGCTGTAACAATGGGCCCAAATAGAGGAATGATTGTGAGGAGGAGCAGGACCAGGCATCTTGGGCTGCTTTGCATTGGAATGGTCTCAGAAGCACTTAGCAACAGCAAGTCTCTAAATATGCTGTATGCACTCCCTACAGAGAAACAGCAGCACAAACACAATAGAGAAGGTGTCCCTTTTTCCATTCTTCTGGAGTGCTGACTTTCCTCTGAGTCCTTCACCCCTTCATTTTATTTTCTCCTTCTCCAACAGCACTCCTAGAATCCCCCAGTAACCATCCAACAGCCCTACTCTTTTCCAGGCGAACACTTTCCAGAAGGTTCTACTGTGTGTGTCAAAGCAGACTGTAGACCTTTCTTCTTGGTCTTACTCTGGAAGCTCCACTGAAATCTATTCGGCAACTTAGCAACACACACGCCTCCACTGACAGGCCCTTGGTGGCTGTGCTTGAGGTGGAATCACTGGGAATTGACCCTGAGTCTCCATGGGCTGCCAAAAGAACCAACAGATCTGTGTTGGAAGATGTGCAGCCAGAGTGCTCCTTGGAGGCCAGGATGGCCAAACTTTGTCTCTCATACTTCGGACATATTGTCAGGAGGGATAAATCGCTGGAGAAGGATATCATGTTTGGTAAGGTAGAGGGTCAGCAAAAAAGAGGAAGACTCCCAGCGAGATGGATTGGCAAAGTGGCAGCATCAATGGGCTCCAGTGTGGCAAGAATTGTGAGGTTGGCCCAGGACAGGGCAGTATTTCGTTCTATTGTACATAGGGTCACTGAGTCAGTACTGATTCAATGGCACCTAACAACAACAAAAATAAGGAGTCCTGGTGTGGCACTGTGGCTTAATACACTGGACTGCAAAGTCGTTTGAACCACAAGATCAGTGGTTCAAGCTCATCAGCCACTCCTTAGAAACCTTATGCAGGATCGCTATGGGTCGGAACAGACTTAAAGACACTTGAAAACAACAGTTATAACAACAAATCAGAATGTGGTGTATCATCATCAGTCTTAAAATCACAGTGGGCCAGGCAGCCCTCAGAATGTGACGAGCAGGGCCTGTGTGTCCGTGCCCTTCATAACCAGTAGTATGGGGGGATTAACTACAAACCATTTAAGGACATTTTCAGAAAGGAACGTGAGTCCTGGTTGGTGCCTGTAGTAAAATCAATAAAATACTAGGAGAAAAACTTGTATAATGGATGTTAGTAGTTTAACAAAATTTAAAATGTCTTAAAAAGTCTCATAGACAAGAGCAGAAGAATCTTTAAAAAATGCTCGGTCATCAAAAATACAGTAGAAAATACTGGGTAGAAATACACAGACATCCTCAATTCTACATCACTTGACTTTAGAATATGAAGAAGTATTAAAATACTTTCACCAGTGGGTGTCACTTATGGTTTTCTTTTACATTTGCCCAATATTAACATGATAAAATTGGTGTGAATGAAGTTTTAGAAAACTTTCTGTTACTTTAAATCAAAAGGTGTAAGAAATAGGAAAGCATTTGATCAAGATTTCATCAGATTTGTTTCTTTCATGGAAGGGTGTAAAGTCATGGAGCACCTTTCAACTGATGGTGTCTTACAATTGATGAAATATGATATTCAAACCATTTGGGAGGTTCCTGGCAGAGAGATAAGGGAGTCAAGACAGAGTTGGCATAAATTTGCAGACAAAACAAAAATGGAAAATACTGGTCTAGAGCCTCAGTTCCAGTTATGTGTTGTTGTTGTTGTTGTTGTTAGGTGTCACAGAGTTGGTTCTGACTCATAGCAATACTACACACAATAAACTGAAACACTGTTCAGTCCTGGACCAGCCTCACAATTGTCGCTTTTCTTAAACCCATTGTTGTAGCCTTTGTACCAGTCCATCTCTTTAAGGGTCATCCTCTTTTTCACTGACCTCTACTGCACTAACTATGATGTCTTTTTGTAGGGACTGGTCTCTCCTGATATGTTCAAAGTACGTGAGACAAAGTCTCTGTAGCATCACTTTTAAGAAGCATTCTGACCATACTTCTTCCCAGACAGATTTGTTTGATTTTCTTATAGTTCAAAGGCATTATGCCAAAACCATAATTCCAAAGGCACCGATTCTTCTTTGGTCATCCTTAGTTATTTTCCAGCTTTTTATTTGTATATGAGGCAATCAAAACTACTATGGTTTGGGCCAAGCACACTTAGTCGTCAACATAACATCTTTGCTTTTGAACATTTTAAAGAGGTGTTTTGCAGCAGATTTGTCCAATGTAATGCATCATTTTTCAACTGTTGCTTCCATGAGCATTGATGGTAGATCCAATTAAAATGAACAATTTCAATATTTTCTCCATTGATTATTCAATTATGATAGACCACCTCCCCCACTCCATGCTTTCCCCCACTGAATTTGCAAAGCTATTTTCAGGAGGAGGCATCAGTTGGGAGGGAAGCAGATAGGCATAACACAAGGCATCTCAGACTGGGAAACAACACTCGTATTTATCACTGGTCACAAACCTGTGTTGTAAGGTCGTATTTGAAGTTTGGTGTGATGGTCCCGCCATTCACAGAGATGCTGACACCAGTGATGGGGGTACTGCCCACTCCCCAGATCTCAATGAATCCCAGTTTCAAAATGTTTGTGCCTACGATGTAGGTGTTGTGAATTATTTGAGCTTTCATCGTATTCTGTCAAATTGAAGGTAAAAGAAACAAGAGGAGAAAAATAGGAAGCAAAGTCAGTTCATGCTTTTCCCAGCATCATTTTAAACACAAATGTAAATCATGAATTCAAGGCAACTTTGGAGTCATCATCTTCTGTCATTAGACAATGGACGCCATGATTCTGGCACTCTGTCTCATGTTGCCAACTGCTCTCCACTTTGCATTAACGAAACACCTGCCAGATTGCCCTGAATTCTGCCAAAGACAGTCACAGGAAATGTATATTCTACATGCAGAAAAGTCATACAATGTGACAGCGTGAGAAGGCCATACAAGAACCAGAGTTATATAACAAACAGCCTATTCATCTGTGTGACGGAGAACTGGAAACGTTACCAGGAAGATGCAAATGGCTAATCACAGAAAACTCCCTGGGAGCCTAGTGAATATCCACCTGAAGGAAGGGGAATGATCAGAATTCAAAAGATGAGCTGAAAAGGGGTGCTAGGTGACACTTCATGCCTGATGATGTCCAGCATCTGCCTACGCCCGTAGAACTCACTTCTCTCTTCATAGTATCACGCATACTCACCTGGCTGACAGAAAAGTTGGCCAAGTAATAATGTCCTTTTTCATAGGTGTCTGCAAACAAACAACATGACAGGGCGTCACCTGGAGCTCTGCTATGACATTCCACTCACCGTCTCTTGGGTTTTTTTCGGTTTGTTCTTATTTTCCTTCCTTAGAGAGCTCCCTTTTGTGATTTCAGTCCTCTTTGTGTTAACTAAAAAGACTCTGTAATTTGCCCCACCTCGGTTTACACAAAATGATTCAAATGGTGTGGTGCGCTATAGGATAAAGCGCTAGAGTGCTAGTTCGGTTTCAACCACAAGGTTGGCAGTTTAAACTCACTGGCTGTTCCTCAGAAACTCAGTACAGGTCACTGTAAGTCAGAACTGACTCAACAACCTTTAACAACAACAACAACTTCTTGCAAACCAAGGAGCTTTGGGGGCACAGTGGATAAGCATTGGGCTTCTAATCATAAGGTCAGTAGTTCAAAGCCACCAGTCACTCTACAGGAGAAAAATGAGGCCGTCTGCTCCCATAGAGATCTGCAGTCTCAGAAACCTGAAGGAGCAGCTCCACGCTCTCCTATAGTATTGTTTTGAGTCAGAATCAACTCAATGGTGGTGGGTGGCACATTCTTAAACTCCTTCCCTTAGTTGAAGTCTTCCATTTTTAACATCTTCCTGTCTCTTTTTTCTGCTAGATACACACACTTGTGTTTGTACACACACACAAGCTGAAATAGCAAGCTTATCTTTGAAAGGTGTTAGGCCATTTTTAGCCGTTATCAGTAACGTATGGCACAGACCCAAGGAGGCCCAAGGCCAGCTTCCCAGGGTAGAGGGGCCAGTCAAGGGTCTGTTACAGGCAGCCCAGCACCCACTCTGCCCTCACCACTCCCCCACGCTTCCTACGTGCTGGCCTTTCCTCAACCACTCAGCACCCAGTCAGGCCACTGCTATTGTCCAGGACTGGGCTGCCCAAGACAGAGCCACTAGTCAAGTGTAGTCATGAAAATCTAAACCAGTTAAAATGAAAATTTCAACTCTCAGGATAGTTGTCACATGCCCAGTGCTTCCTAGCCACTTGTAGTTCATGGTCCCAGAATTGAACAGGGCATAAAAGTTCTATGCTGTTGTAAGGTTCTGTTGAGTGGGTTCCAACTCAGAGCAACCATCCGTATGAACAACAGAATGAAACACGGCCTGGTTCTGCATCAACCTCATCACTGCTGTGTTTTAGCTCATTGTTGCAATGAGTGCATTGTCAATCCACGCCTTATTTTCACTGATCCTTTACTTTACCAAGCACAGTGTCCTCCTCCAGGGACTGATCCCTCTTGATAAGATGTTCAGAGAACATGAGATGAAAGTATAGAAGTTCTAGCCTCTATTCTATTGATACTGGCCTCCTCCTGGTGAGAGTTTACCAGTTACTGAAAACTCCTAATGAACCAATGCCCAAATAAATAGCACAGTTGAGGAACAGTGTTGTCCTTCTTACTGAGAAAGTATACCATGTCACTAGAGAATTTGCCCTTGATCACAGATCACACGACCTTCTACAAAGAAGCTCTCACCCTGCTGCCTTCAACGGGGGGCTAGACCAGTGGATAGTGGGGAACCATTAAGAGCCAAGCATCAGTGACAGGAAGCAGGGGGCGGTTCTCTTCAGTTGGAACCACACACCTGAAACTAGCCAAGGGATACCTGTTAAAGTGCAAGATTGTTAGATCCAGGAGAGGAAAGCAGCAGGCTTGGAAGACCCCCAGGAACATCCTCAGTGATGCTGACGTGAGTCCAGTCCTACTCACCGATGCTCTGACCATCATCCCAGAAGAGGCAGCCCTCGGCTGCGCCATTCTCATCCAATGCAACCTTGAAGCCCATGAACTTCTGGCGGCTGCAGGGAGGTGGGAGAGTCATGAGACAAGAAACATCATGGGCACAAACCACAGATTTTGATAAAAACATAAAAGTGCCAAAGGGATTTCTTCCTGGTGTAACGTCTGGGCCCTAGGAGTTGTGGGATGATGACCTTGTCCCAGGTCTGTGACCCTCTCACCTCAAGATATCAGGTCAGGCATGGGTGAGTGAGTCAAGCTATCCATCGAGTGGGGTTTTCCTTTAAAACTCTTAAAGAAACTATAAACAAAGTGACTGGGTTCCTTCTTCTTTGTAAGAAAACCCCTGATGTTAGGCTGTATCTTCTTTCCTGCCCTACCTTCCCACACACATTCACAGTGATTCTGTTTACAAATGTTCTAAGTTCTTCAGCTTGTATCTGAGCCTTTGGGATTAAATGAGTAATGCTCCAAGAAATGTGGGTCTGACATGAGACAAACTTGTGTGGTAGTCCCTGTTTGACCACTAAGGAGCTGTGTGGTAGAGAGTAAATTGGTTAATCTCTTGACCTTTCCCCTTGGTAATGTGACATTAGTCATCTTAGCCAAGAGCCAGTGAGAAGCCAGTCTTCTGTTTCAGGGATCATGGGTCTTTCCTGACTGTCCTCCCATTTGATACGTCATGTCTTAGCCCTCTTGTCTCCCAGCTAAGACCTGAAATAGTGAACAACGGTTCAAAGAATGCAAAGAGTTTGAGAAAAGCCAACCCCCAAACCCTCAAAAACTAAATTAAAACCCATGTATCTCATACGGTTGTTATAGGCCCAAAGGTATGGGCATGATGGGTGTCTGAGCAGACTGATGCCAAAGGAAGATCAGCCCAGCCCCACCCTCACCTCAAGTGGGTGTTCTGTGCAGGCTCCTGCCAGGGTAGGATGTAGCCCCCACGCACATGGATGTTGATGTGGTCAAGAGGGGCTGGCAGTGTCTTCCACTCTCCCATGGCATCAAAGGACACACCCTGTGGACCAGAAGAATGTAAGAGATGATGAAGGAAAGAACCCACACTGACACACACAGACAGATAGACACAGACACATATAGACATAGAACACACAGACACACCACACACACAGACATAATGACATACACACATTCTCTTACACACACACACAGATACACACATACATACTAAAAGACAGACCACATACACACTCACAAACACATTCTCTTACACATGTAAGTACACACACACATCCAGACATAAACACAGACACACTACTAACAAACACACACACATATGTAAAGATATATACCACACACACACTCTCATATGTACATACACATGCTTTCACACACAGATATACACACCCAGGGGCCATGTTATACCTTCTACTATAACATCTTGCTAGGGCCTTTGGGGATCCTAGGGTGGATCACCCCCACCCATGTTCCACTGTAATTTCTGTGCCCGAGCACAGCCAGAGAAGACTGGACAATCCTACTCACTCCTGTTGGTCCCACACATCCCACGTGGCTTTGCTATACCTTCCCTTGCACCAAGAGTGCACTTTTGCCCCATCAGCCCTCACTACTCCATCTTCACTCCCAGGAGCGTAGCCAACAACTTCATAGCTTCACAGGAAATGTCACAGTCTGTTAACCCACTCGTCACTGAGAATACCTGCCTTGATGGTTGCTGCTTTTCTCTTGCCTGTGTGGTGGGGAGGTGCTGCCATGTCCCAGCATAAACCCTCCATTACCAGAGGCCACGCTCGCACACTTCCTCTTGCAGACACAGTGCTTCTCCACCCAGGCACCATGGTCTCTTTTGAATGGACAATTCCTTGCTGTGGGTGACCATCCTGTGCTCTGGGATGTTTAGCAGAATCCCTAGCATCTACCTACTTGATGCCACTACCTTCTCCCCCAATCCTCTCTGACAGGCAAATGTCCTCTGGGAGACAGCACTGCTCGATTCCATAAACACTGCTCGGGAGGCAGGGAGCAGAACCACAGAACATTCCCTCCCTCCAGATCCCTGTCTTTGATTCCACAGATGTGGTGTAGGAGGTAGAGGGTGGCAGAAAGAAGCATTGGCACAGGTACCACCTTCCCCAAGTGGACCCTGATTCCTGGCACTGCCACGAGACTCTGTAATCTAAGGCCCACTTACCACAAACTCAGTGACAACTCCAAGTGACCCCATGTCTGTCAGAGTCCAACTCTGCTCCATAGGACTTTCAACGGTTGCTTTTTTCCCCTAGATGGATTTGAACCATCGACACTTCTATTGGCAGCTGAGCACACTGACCATTTGCAACACCCATTGCCATTGGCTCAATTTTGACACTTGATGACCTCATGTGGCCGAGTCACAAGTGTTCCTTAGGCTTTTTCTGACATAATCTCTATAGAAGCAGAAAACAAGGGTTTTCTTCCCAGGTAACTGTCAGTAGGTTTGAGCCACCAAGGTTTGGGCTAATAATTGGCAACAAATCATTAGTACCACCTAGGGACCTAAAAATTTACTGTCAGAGTTGTTCAGTGCCATTACGTCAGTTCCCATTCATAATGACCCAGTAAAATTTACAAGGAGCAGATAATGGGTTTGAACCACCCACCTTGTAGTTATCAATCCAGTATTTATTCTATAGCACCACTTACTACAGTGAGTAAAATCACTTGCCATAAACTATATCATACAAAACTCCTAAAACGCAGACAAATTGTCAGTATGTCCTCCAACAATACAATCAAGGCTACAGAATCTTACATCTGACTTTTATCCATCACCTCAAATAGTGATGATGTAGGAAAAATATCATTTCACCAAAATTATTCGATCTGTATTTATTGTTGTTGTTAAGTGCCATAGAGTCGGTTTCGACCCAGAGCCACCCTGTATAGGGTTTCCAAGGAGCAGCTGGTGAGCTTGAACTTCTGACCTTGCAGTTCAAACAACTTTGCAGTCTGGCGCATTAACCCACACCGCCACACCAGGACTCCTGTATACGACACTATATAAAAATCCGTATTGGAGAAAGGCTCATTAACAACCTGTGATATGCAAATGACATAACCTTGCTTACTGAAAGTGAAGAAGAAATTAAGCTCTTATTGATGAAGATCAAGGGCTAAAGTCTTTCTTCATTGTGAATTACACCTCAAAAAAAAAAAAAAAAAGTCCTCACAACTGGACTAATAAACAACATTACAATAAATGCTGACAGCATTGATGTTGCCAGAATTGCATTTTACTTGGATGAACAATTAACATCCATAGAAGCAGCAGTCAAGAAATCAAGTGACAGATTACATTGGACAAATCTGCTGCAAAAGACCACTTTAAAGTGTTCAAGAGCTAAGATGTCATTTTAAAGACTAAGATGCATCTGAACCAAGCCATGGTCTTTAAAATTGTCTCATATGAATGTAAAAGCTGAACTATGACTAAGAAAGACCAAGTGCTTTGAATTTGGCATTGACAAACAATACTGAACAGAAGAACAAAAGAATCTATCCTGAAAAAAAAAAAGTACAGCCAGAATGCTTCTTATAAACCAGGATGGCAAGACTTCACCTTTGGACACTTACCAGGAGTGACCCATCTCCCAGAGAAGAACGTTATTATGCTTGGTAGAGAGTCAGAGATAAAGAGGAAGACCCTCAACATGATGAGTTGTCAAGGTGACAGCAACAATGCCTCCAATATAACAACAATGTGAAGAGGACACAGGACCGGGCAGTGTTTCGTTCTGTTGGACACAGGGGCACTAGGACTGAGAGTCAGTTTACCAGCTTCTAATAGCCACAACAAGGAAAAATAAAGACTAAGACATAAAGAACATCAGGAGGAGTCAGATCCCGGAGAGGGGCTGTCTGTGTTACTTCACAGCAAGCCCATGAGGGATGATGAGCTGTGACCCATCTGAAGATGAGAAACTGAAGCTGAACCAAGACCACTCATCAGGTGAGTTTAGAGCTAGAAATTGTCCTGAAGTCTGTCTTTGTACTCAACCGCCATGCTCACAGGTTGTATAAACAATTGGAACACTTACCGTGTAATAATTGTACCACCGAGCTCTAGGGAAATACGCACTGACATTTCTGGCATTCTAAAATGAAAGGAAAGCAGGTGAGCACTGTAGTTCTGTAGTCTAAGTCTGAGATGCCGGTTTGCATAGGAACAGGGTTGGAATGAGAGTTCTGGCCTTGAACCCACCTTGCCTCCCCTCCCCCCCAGAAGCTATCAGTGAGGAAACACTTTCCTTTCCCTCCCCTTCTCTAACAGGGAAGACTTGCCCACCCCAAACCGGGTACTTCCTTCCATAGGCCCTTTGCCACCCAAGACTTTGAAAGCAGAAGCCACCATTGGCTCATAGGTCTCCCCATAGCCCCCTGTAAAGAGCCAGACTGAGGTTGGGACTGGGCCAGGAAAAAGCTGTGTATGTGTTCCAGTGTTCATACTCCTGGTGTGATGCTGTAGAATAAGCACTCAACTTTAAGGTTGGTTTGAACCACAAGGATGGCAGTTCAAACTCCTCAATCACTCCTCAGAAACCCTGTAAGAATCGCTGTGAGTCAGAACAAATTCTATAGCACTTAACAACAACCAGCATTCAGATGTCAGAAAATATGAAAAGTGCAGCAAAACTGTTGGCCAAAGGTAGTTAGTTAGTTGGTATTTTAAACAGAAACCTAGTCCTGATGTGATGCTGTAGGATAAGCACTGGACCATAAGGTCAGTTTGAACTGCAACAGCAGTGGTTCAAACCCACCAGCCGCTCCTCACAAACGCTATACAGGATCATTATGGGTCAGAAATGACTCCACGGCACTTAACAACAACAAATCATCAACCAAGGAAGTAAGGAGAGAACCTACTCTATGTAGAGAGGTATGCGTGTGTGTGTTAGGTGCCGTCGAGTCGGTTCTAACTCATAGTGACCCTGTACAAGGCTGCCGAGGAGCTGCTGGGGAGTTTGGACTGCTGACCTTGTGGTTCAAACTGACCATTTCATTCAGTGCTTACCCTACAGCACCACACCAGGACTCTAGGTAGAGAGAGGAAGAATCTGATGTAGGCATTCATTCTACACAGTTTTGTTTTCCAGCCCAGAGAGGGCTGTGATGAATATATTATATACTCTAATGGACCCCGCACTCCTTACTCCAGTGAATGGAGAAATGACTCTATCACTGAATGTACTGTTGTTGTTGTTGTTGTTGTTGTTGTTGTTGTTGTTGAGAGTCATTAAGTCCCTTCCAACTCATAGTGATTCTGTATAGGATTTCCAAAGAGCAACCGGTGGTTCTCTGACAACCTTGCAATTCCAACAGACCTGGTGGTCGAGTGCTTATCCTACAGCGCTATACCAGGACTCCATTGAATGTATTGTTATTGTTGTTGTGTGCTGCCAAATCAGTTCTGACCCTGTATAGGGTTTCCAAGGAGCAGCTGGTGGGTTTGAACCACTGACCTTGTGGGTCAAAACAACCTAGTGGTCCAGTGCATTATCGCACAGCACCACATCAGGACTCCATGGAATGCATTTCTAGAGCTTGCTTTTCTTATCTTTAAAATCTACACATTCACTCTGGTTCATAGGACAATTCAGAAGAAATAAACTCCGGTAATGCATTAAATTACTAGAGCATAGTTCATCTCTGAATTGTCCTATGAACCAGATTAAACGCTTTACTAAGGTATATTTTTTCTGAATTGTCCTATGAACCAGAGTGAATGTAGATTTTAAAGATGAAGAAAGTAAGCCCCAGAACACATGAGTGAAACCTTTAGCTCAGAGGAGAGGAAGAAGCAGAAGGAGTCAGGAAGCTCCTTGCTGGTCCCCTCCACCCGTCCGTCTGGGGTTCTACTCACAGGTTGTAGGACAGGACTGACAAGGAAGGCGGGGCCCAGCAGAAACTGAGAGTCTATATTCCAGGTGGCCAGGTCTGACACAAACCTGAGAAGAGAAACCAAGGCACTAGAGTCAGAACTCCCAAAAGGACCCAAGTCAAATTCTAGACAGACTGCCCCAACTTGGGGTCCATTCCAAAATCCAATCTGCCTTGTGTGCTACCTCTCCTCTTCCTCTAGGTACAGTTTAGTCAGGTACATGCGTCACCATTTTCTACATGACCATTATGGGTTGGTTCATGTCCCCCAAAAAGGCATATTGAAGTCTTCACCCCCCAGTATGAAGACAGGAAGTTTGCAGATGTGATTAAGTGAACGTGAGGTCATACCCTATACAGGGTCGCCATGGGTCAGAACCGACTCAACGGCACTTAACAACAACAACAATCCCATTTTGGGAGTCCTGGTGTGGCACTGTGGGTTAATGCACCAGACAGTAAAGCCATTTGAACTGCAAGGTTGGCGGTGCAAGCTCAGCAGCTGCTCCGTGGAAACCCTATACAGGGTTGTTATGGGTCGGAATAGACTCAACAGCACTTCACAACAACAACAATCCCATTTGAGTGGTGTCCTTATTAAGGATAAGAGACACAGAGAGACACTGAGTGAAGATGAGCCATGTGAAGATGGATCTACAGACCAAGGCACACTGGTCAACACAGCAGTTATGAGCGAGCAAGGAACAGTTTCTCTCTCAACAACTCAGGAGAAATCGACATGGCCCTGAACTTGACTCTCAGTTTCCAAAACTGTAAAACAATATATTACTGTCAATATAAGTCAGTCAAGTCATGGTACTTGGTTACAGCAGTACTAGGAAACTAATACAATGTCATGCTTCCCAAACTCCAGAAAAGATTGGATATTCTCATTTATAAATCATGTTTCTTATCCATGGCATATTTTAAATGCAACAATAGCCTTCCTCCCTCAATACCCTCTATTCCTGTCCTAGAATTCTTTTTTTTTTTTTTTTTTGTAACCTGAACTTACGTTGATAAGTCCACATGAGCAAACTCCTACAAGAGATAGGTAGATGTTTGTATGCCCACATAAGTAGTACATTATTCTGTGCTATATTGTGCCAAACGAGTGAAAATAGATGATTGATGCAATGGAAAGTTTATGGCAAAAGGCAATCTAAGACATTAGTGTGATAAGGAAGACCCTTCTCCTTCAGTGGGCTCCATAAGGAATGGGTTGTCCATTGGTCAATGGGACCATATGGAACAGATTATCCAGAAGTCAATGGGACCAGATTATTCATGGGTCATTGGAACCATATAGAATGAGTTATCCATGCATCATTTGGGACTCAGGTAGGACACGCACTCATGGAGGAGTGGTCGGACCACAGTGCTGCCTTCAGCGTGGGCTTTGTGCATCAGAGTGTAGAGGTACGGCAGTAGAGTGTATCTGGTCTGCAGGACACTCCTGGAGATGTCCTCAAAGGTGGTATTCCAGGACACGGGGTCTTGTCTCTAAAGGAGAAAAGAGAGTATTCAGAGTTTGCCCAGGGGACCTTGAATACCTGAGGAAAGGCACTAAAAGATTGTTTCAACTGAAGACCATGCACAGCTAAACCACCATCACTGTAATACTACTCAGAGAGCATTCTTGAAATCTTGAGAGGGGTCACTGAAGCCCTACGTAGAAAGACTGAGGGACCAGAGAACACTGGGGATGCAGTCCATGGTGATGTGAGGGCTCTGTGATGTTGAAGATGTCCCCAGGAAACACAGATTTCATTCACTGTAGCTCCACACTGAAAGTTAGTTTATGTAACAGAACACCTGAGGTACGAGTAGATGTCCTACCCTGGTCCCAATGGTATTGTGATTCCTGGAGTAGGGGTAGAAGGCCCCCAGCTGCATCCAGCGAACACACATCTCGTATTCCGCGTCTTGAAAGAAGCCACAGATATCTGCTCCCGTCTACAATAAGATGAAATAACATGAACTTGTTGGTCATTTCTGGAAGGCGTTGCCCATCTACTTAGGGATCTGGAGTGACCCAAGAGGAACTTACATAGGATATGCCAAAGAGACTGAACTCCATCATGCCTGCAACAAGAAACCACATCCATCAGAGGAGGGGTCGGGGGACTCGATCCACCTTCTCCTTCCTCATCCATCAATCTTTCATAGAGGCCTCTCCCTACTCACACCCCCGGAAGAGAGCTCCTCACCAATGATGGATTTCCTCAGCTGGTCCCATGCAGCTGTGTTGTCTCCCAGCCAGTGTCCTCCCCAGCGGCCAGAAGATGGGAAAGTGGAGCGGGTGACGACTATGCCTCGCTCCCCTGTCACCTCCTGCACAGCTCTGGGTGGAGCGACAAGGAGATGGGTGAGGACAAGGTAGTGCAGGTGAGGAAGGGCTACCAAGCTTCCACTCAGAGAGCTATGGTCCCTGGGCAGGGCCTGACTGGAGAGGATGGAACTCAGAGCCTCCCCAGGAGACTACAGGGATAGTGGAGAACATTACTGGGTGGGAGCTTGGGTAGCACAGCGGTTTGCAAATGGTTGGCAGTTCAAACCCACCCAGCAGTTCCATGGAAGGAAATATCTGTCAATCTACTGCTGTTAAGATGACCGCCAAGAAAACTCTGTGGGGCAGTTCGCATGGGGTCACCATGAGGTAGAATTGACTCGAGGGCAGCTCACAACAGCAACACACTCTGCCTCTCACCTAAAACGGGACAAAACCACTAACTGACCCAGTGCTTCTTTTATGTATCTGAGATTTCTCTTTGGATAATTGCTGTGATTCTTCTGGGTTCACAAAATACAACTGTATTAATTCAGGAGAAAACCAATTGGCTATCAAACAAGAATGGCCAGAAACAAGAATCCCCAGAGCGAAGGTCCACTTCTGAAATAAAAGAGAGTGGGGTCCAGCCCTCGAAGTTACAATCACATCCCTGCACTGGGCATTGAACATGCATGAGACTGACTGTTGACTCCAGACCTGGCCCCCAGCATGGCCAACCTCTTGCTGCAGGCCCAAGCTTCCCTGATTCAGCCTCTGTTCTGGCAGTAATGGCAGGACCTGGTGCCATGCTCCAAGCCTGTTTGTTTGACAGAGAGATCTACTGCGTCACCTTTGTGATCGAACTCTCTTTAACCCTTGGCTGACATGGACTGGCACATCGGCTGCGTCACTGGGATAGCAACGATTATGAGATTGGCACAAGAGCAGGTGACACTTTACGTTGTACCTGGAGTTGCTATGAGTAGGAACTGATTGGACCTCACCAGAGCCCTTAGATGGTCATGACCCATGTCCTCCTCTGATGTACTCACTCGTAGGTGGGCCTGGTCTGCGCCCATCCATACAGGCTGTGTACATCGTAGTGCCGCACCAGGGAACCGTCCGCCAGCACCTGCTGACTCTCCATGCACAGAGTCTTGCTGCTCAGGCCCCTGTCCCTGGACTCCAGAACTGAGGGAAAGAGGCAGACATGAAAACTATGCAAACCTACTTTACCCCAGACTTCTCTTCAAGAATCTATGGGCCTCCCTTCCTCCCCGGGCCTGGGAGCCGGCTTCTATCCAGCTGCCATGGGGTCTGCATGTGGGTCAGCCAGCAACACACTGCCCTGCAAGGTCCTCCAGGAGAATGGAGCCAAGGAAAAATTCTTGTGTCCCACACTCTGATCTTGACTCTTGATGTGAAATTATGTCACATGAAGAAGATGCCCCAGCCTCTTTACAGTTCACAAAAGTGAGATTTGGAGTCATGAAGTCATTTACTGAAGGCCATATAATTCAGAAAATGTCCTTTGTCCATTGACTCAACTTTCAACTTCTCACCCATCTGTGTGTGGCCCTTGCATTTCTGTGGGACATTAATGTTGTTAAGTGCCAACTAGTTAGTTCCAACTCATAACAACCCTGTATGGGGTTTCCAAGGAACAGCTGCTGTTTGAACAGCCTACCTATGAGTCAGAGTCCAATGCTGATCCTACAGTGCCACACCAGTAGACATTAATACACACACGAAAAGGCTCTTTAAGAGGCTGGGCCAGAAGCGTGCTGTTGAGATGTTACTACTGCCAAGTGTTTTCAAGCAGATTCCAGAAATTCACCCAATGGAACTAGTGATTCACACACACCAAGTGGGTTAAGGGCTGGAAGTACCTTTGTTTTTGACCCCAGTAAACCACTGCACCAGTGTGGATGAACCCGAGAATCCGGGGTACACCAAGCCGCTAGGCTAACACAGGGTCCCCCTCCTTGTGGCCAAGCTGAGTCATGGAGGGGTCAAGGTCCTCACCCGGCATGTATGGAGGGTGGTTCAGCGTGGAATCCTTGCAGCCTGGGGGGACGGCTCCATTCACAAAGCTCGAGGGCTCATTCATGTCCTGGAAATGTAAACACAGAGTGATCTTGCTGTTAAATAATCCTGTCAGTTCAAAGACAAGAGTAGTGAACAACATGGTCATCATCTGGCAATATGGCGCCTGCACAGAGGGTCTTGTCAAGTCGTGATGGGGCTGACTACAGAGTTCAGTCAACCAACAGAGAGATTAGCTAGAGGGTAAAAGATTGCCCTCAGTGTAAGGTAAGAACGCCAGTAATCACTCAGGAGCTTTGACAGGAAGGGGACAAGGCCAGGGTGTGTCAGGGCTGCTCCACTCCACTGGGAGGAAGTGAGGCTGTTGCATTGTGGATAATTACTGCCCACATGAATAAAGATTAGTGATATGTATGCTTTGGTACATAAGACGTGGACACAAAATCTAGCCACATGTACACACATGCCACCCTACACATACACCACACACATAGATGCACAGATAGATGATGCCCATTCACACACCCCCACACACCCTACACACATCCTACACATACACCACACACATAAATACACAGATAGACGATGCCCACTCACTCACCCACACACACTCTATACACACCACACACACACAAATACACAGATAGACAATGTCCATTCACACACCCATACACACCCTACACACACCCTACACACATCACACTCACACAAATACACAGATAGACAATGTCCATTCACACACCCATACACACCCTACACACACCCTACACACATCACACTCACACAAATACACAGATAGACAATGCGCATCCACACACCCACACAATGCCCATCCACACATCCACACACCACACACACAAATACACGGATAGATGGTGCCCATTCACACACACACACACATACATACACACACCCTACACACACACACACACAAATTCACAGATAGATAATGCCCATTCACACACCACACACAAAAATACTCAGATACACAAAACCCATCCACATGCACACTTATATACCTACACACCATGTACACACCCCACATACACACACTACATCGCATGCACAGATACTCAAGGACAGGCAACATTCATCCACATGTACACACATACACATATACCCCATGTACACGCTCCACATACACACACACTCCACACAGATGGACACAAAGGCACCATCCATCCACATGTACATGCATATACATATGTACTAATACCACACAAGCTCCCCATATACACACTACACACAGATACACAAAGATAGCCAATGTCCATCCACATGTACACACATAGACATATATTCCCAACCACATCACATATCCACACCCCTGAAATACACACTTCATACACACACACCACACACATATAGAAAGATAGGTAACACCCATCCACAGGTACACATTACAGATACCACAAACAAACATACACTTCACACACACACTACACACAGATACACAACGATAGCAGTGCCCATCCACACATATATACACATATACCCACTACACACACAACACATACACACAAAGACAGGCGACATCATTCCACATGCAATTACATCCACACATACAGCATGCACACACACCATACACGTACTACACACACACATCACACCACACATAGATACATAGAGATGCAATGCCCATCTATACATGCATACACACCACACACTGCACACACACCACAGACACACACACACTGTAAATACACAACACACTTACAATCCATATGCCATCAAACTTCAAACTTTTATCTTGATTCTGTGGGTTGGTGTACATCTCTTTCAATTCTGTCTTCCACCACGTGACAGTTGAATTCCGGAAGAAGTCTGGGAAGGCCACATAAGCTCGATATTGCTGTAAAATAATAAATATAATCAGTTGTCCTAAACAAATATATTAGAGAGCAGACAGGAATTTACTGAGAACACAGCTGTGCGGAGTCTTATATATGTGGTGCTTGGTATCTGCGCAGAACCAAGTCACGTTTCCTGGCATAGTAGACGTGCATTGTGTATGTGGGAGAAAATGTGGTACCGGTCACGTGGCTACACATCTTTCAAAGCCCCCAGAGACTGTTTTCCTCCTCTTGTCAGCAAGACTGGTTAACTATCTGCACTGTGAATCCCCATCTCATCCCTCAACTCCTGCCCCACTATTGATTTCTTAAGCACTCATAAGGGACAAAGTCTGGGTCAGGGGAGCCCACACTTGAAAGGCAAGCACAGGGTGTCCCATGTAGAAAGGAACATCCCGGGCCCCTCTTGTGTCATTGCACTGGAAATGTGGGTGCACTTAACAAAGGAGAGGTAACGTTTCAAACTGTGATATTAGGATATCAAATATCATGTGCCATACTTTCTTTACTTATGTAATCACATAGGAAATGTAGTTAGAGGATTAAAGAGGAGTTTCTGCCCACACGTCTTGTCACCGTCCCTCCTATAATAAAATCCACATCTTTAGTTTTTAACTCGAAAAGCAGAGCCAGTGTACAACTCCTTAGCTAGACTGTAAGCTTTTTGATGGTTCTGATTTCTCTTTAAATTACCCAAAGTGCTTACATGAACTCGATAGAAAGTAAATGCTCAGTGTATGCTTGTGAATTCAAACCTCCATTGTTGTTTTTCTTAAGTCTAATCAAGTCAGTTCCAACTCATAGTGACCCTATGCATAACCCTATGCATAACAGACCCTATGCATAACAAACCTTATGCATAATAGACCCTATGTATCACAGACTCTATGTATAGCAGACCCTATGCATAACAGACCCTATGCATAACAGACCCTATGTATAACAGACCTATGCATAACAGACCCTATGTATAACAGACCCTATGCATAACAGACTCTATGCATAACAGACCCTATGTATAACAGACCTATGCATAACAGACCCTATGTATAACAGACCCTATGCATAACAAACCTTATGCATAATAGACCCTATGTATCACAGACCCTATGCATAACCCTATGTATCACAGACCCTATG